AAACTCCTAACCTCAGGTGATCCACCTGCCTCAGCCTCCCAAAGTGCCCGGTCTGTTGTCATGCATTTTAATCCTTCATATATTAGAAACTCCACAATACTTTATCATTTTTTTATTAAGTAGTCAATTCTTTTGCTCTTTTTTTGAAAGAAGAAAGAAGATTAATTCTCTAACGTGTCATAAGCATGCAGGCAGGTCATCAGAGTCTATGTTCCTTCTGTCTTATTCGCCTTGCCATCCTGAAGGTTTTGCTGCCATCCTCCTGTTCCAAAATGATCTATCACTGTGTCTCCCTTCCAGCTAGTTGGGGGGTGGGGGAAGAGGAGAAGGGGGTACAACTCAGAGATTGCACACGATGCTTCCTCTCTCATTGAAGGTCTGGGAGAAGTTGTCCTTCTTTTGGATTGCCAGGCTCCCACTAAAAATCAGGGGTTCTGTTACCTCAAAGCCAGAGTTAGAAAACTGCCACCATGGGCCAAATCCGGCCTGCCACCTATTTTTGTACAACCTCTAAGCTAAAAGTGATTTTTCCATTTTCTAAATAGTTAAAAAAAAAAAAAGAGAGAAAGAATGTTTTGTGACACATTAAAAGGATATGAAATTGAAATCTCAGTATTTACAAATAAAGTTTTACTGAACATAGCTGGACGCATTTGCTTACGTATTGTGTACAACTGCTTTTGCACTGTCACACCTGAGTTAGTGGTTGTACCTTAGGCCACCTGTCCCACAAAGCCTGCAGTATTTTTTTACCAGCTGGCACTTTGCAGAAGGAGTTTGCGGACACTGATCTGGAGCATGGACTGAATGATGTTACAGGATAACTAACAGACCTTGTCACACTCCCCCAGCACGGAGACCACAGATTTTGTATGTCTCTTTAGACTTTAACTCTATTTTAAGAAAGATTTTTAAGATGAGGATATATGTTTTTATATTTACCTTCATATTTATCATTTCTGATGGTCTTTATTCTCTCTTTTATTTTTCCTCTTCAGAGACAGGGTCTTGAACTGTTGCCCAAGCTGGAGTGCAGTGGTGTGATCATAGCTCACTGCAGCCTCAAACATCTCAGCCTCCCAAGTTGCTGGGACTAGGCACATGTCACCATGCCTGGCTAATTTTGAGACAGATTTTCATCATGTTGGTCAGGCTGGTCTCAGACTCCTGACCTCAGGTGATCTGCCTACCTCGGCCTCGCAAAGTGCTGGGATTACAGGTGTGAGCCACTGCACCCGGCCTTTCTTTAGCTTACTTTGCTTGGATGGAGCATATCTACACCCTAAGGGCCGGGTATGTGGGAGCTGTTTCTCATCAGCTCTTGAGCCCTGTTACTCTCATTGCAATGGCAGGGGTGGCCTTTTGGATTGCAGATCACTTTCCTCATTACTTATGACACTGCACGTGTTTTCATGTTCCTGTCGGCAATTTGTGTGTTCTCCTTTGTGAAGTTCCTGTTTACATGTTTTAAAACTTAGATTTTTCTTATCATAATAAGCTGTGAGAGTTTTCGTTTTTAATCTTTTTGGAGAGAGAGTCTCCCTATGCTGGCCAGGCTAGTCTCAAACTCCTGGCCTCAAGCAGTCCCCCTGCTTCAGTCTTCCGAAGTGCTAGGATTATGTGCACAAGCCACTGTGCTTGGCTGAGCTTTTAAAAATGTATTCTGGAGATGTCAATTGTCATATATTTGTATTATAAATAAATTTCATTCTAGTCTGTGTCTTGTCTTTTCATTTTCTTAATGGTATTTTTCAGAGAGAGAAGTTTTTGATTTTGATAAAATCTAGCTAATCCCTTTTTTTTCTTTTAGGATTTCATGTCTTCTTTAAGAAATCTTTGCTTTCTCTATGTTTTCTAGTTTTGGCTTTTATATTTAATTCTAGGACCCATTTCAAGTTAGCGATATGAGGTAAGGGTCAGGATTTGGTTTTGTTTTTTCCATGTGGGTATTTAGTTGTTCCACTATATATTATTTGGCATTTGTTGAGCTGCATCTTCAAGGTAGATTCCTGGAAGAGGGGTTTCTGGTCAAAGAATGGTTTTATCTCGTTGCCAGGTGCTGTGGGTACTGTATTATCTGGGAGTCTCATGGGAATCTAGGAGGCTGCCTGTTTGCCCACAGCCTCGCCAGCACAGAGTTTCAAGTTTTTGGATTTTTTTCAGTTTGCAGTGAGAAATAGTATCTTAAATGAGTTTCTATTTACATCTCCTTATTATGAGTGCCACTTATGAGTCTTTAATAAGTCACATACATTTATTGTGATTTAATATATATTTGGACTTCTTTTCATTATCTCATTTTGTGTTTTTGTTTGTTTGTTTAAGACAGAATCTCACTCTTTCACTGAGGCTGGAGTGCAGTGGCTCACTGCAGTCTCTGCCTCTCTGCTTCAAGTGATTCTTTCACCTCAGCCTACCAAGTACCTGGGATTAAAGGCACGTGCCACCACGCCCAGCTAATTTTTGTATTTTTAGTAGTGACGGGGTTTCGCTATGTTGGCCAGGCTGGTCTTGAACTTCTGACCTCAGTGATCCACCTGCCTTGGGCTCCCAAAGTGAGCCACCACACCTGGACTCATTTTGTGTTTGCTATTGACTGTAGTTTTTCTATTTTATTTGTTATGTTCTGCCTCCTCTTGAATTGACCATTTTCTCCCTCTTCCTTTCTACTCTTTTATGTATTGCATTTCATTTCTCTTGGCCTTAAATTTTATATATCCTTACACTTTCTAATAAAGTTTCAAGGTAATCATGGTTCTCACATCAAGAATGTCGCCTTTTCTTTTATAAACTCCTCTTCTGTTTCTGTTCTATTTTCTAGAATTTTAGTTTAATCCTGCTGTTTTATATTTTCTTTAAGTTCCTTAGAGTGGAATTTCTTGGGTTCAAATCCCAGATCTGTTCTGTATTAGCTGAATAAACATGGGCTAGCTATTTCACCTCTCTGTGCCTGCTTTTCCTAATCTGAAAAGGGGGAAATAATTGTGCCCATAGAGAAATCACATGGAATTCAGTAAAGTACATGCTACTGTCACATAAAATTGAACTATATAAAGTTAATTCATATAAAGCATTTAGAATAGTTCTTGATATATAATAAGTACTAAGTAGATGTTGATTATATAATTAATATTATGGAACTGCTGGTTTCTTCTTCTCCTTCCCCAAGTATATACTTTGTAGTTCTTTTAATAAGGAGCTGTCTTTGTTCACACTGCTATAAGGGAATACCTGAGACTGAATAGTTTAGCAAGAAAAGATTTATTTGGCTCACAATTGTGCAAGCTGTACAAGAAGCATAGAGCTGGCATATGCTTCCTGTGAGGCCTCAGGAAGCTTCCAATCGTGGCGGAAGGGGAACAGGAGCTGTGTGTCACCCGACGAAAGAGGAAGAGAGAGAGGGGAGGGAGTGCTATGTTATCTATTTATTTATTTATATTTTTATTTTTTGAGATGGAGTCCCACTGTGTGACCCAGGCTAGAATGCAGTGGTGCAGTCTCAATTCACTGCAACATCCACTTCCCAGGTTCAAGTAATTCTCCTGCTTCAGCCTCCCAAGTAGCTGGGACTACAGGAGTGCATCACCATGCCTGGAAAACTTTTGTATTTTCAGTAGAGACAGGGTTTTACCATGTAGAGCAGGCTAGTCTTGAACTCCTGACCTCAAGTGATCCACCTACCTCGGCCTCCCAAAGTGCTGGGATTACAGGCGTGCCACTGTACTTGGCCTGTTTGGTTTCATAAATACTATTTCTTCTTTTATTTCTTGGATATTTTAAATAAGTTTATTTGAAAGTCCTTTTCAGACTGATGTTTTATCTTCATATCATCAGGTGTGAATATTTCTCTCCTAATCTCCTGTTTATTTATTTACTGTTTATGATGGCATTGGACTACTTTGCGGACTTAGTGATTTTTGTTTAAGAACTTGTCTTGTATGGACATTTCTCTCGGTGAATTTTAACTACCACCTCCACTCCTAGTTCTATAGTTTTATCTTTTTGGCTGAAAGTTGTACCCTGATAATGTAATTCCAAACCAAAAGACCACATGACATGCAGACTTGGGCTCCAAATTACTTTAAAGAAGGGTTAGGGCAGTTTATAATATCATTTCACATTTCAGTGACTTCTGTTATTTAATAGGTGAAAGGTGTATCTTGTCATTTCAATTTGTGTTTCTTTTATTAATAGTAGGACACTTCTGTAGAATTGCCTCTCTGTTTCCCTAATAAATGATTGCTGGGTAAAACAACAGCCATTTTATAATGCTCATGGGTTCTGTGGTCAGGAATTCAGAACAGGCATGGCAGGAGGGTTTGCCTTTGTTCCACACTGTCCAGGGCCTCGGGAGGGAAACTTGAGGGCTGGCAGTAACTAAGCGGGTGCATCTGAGGACTCAGGCACGTTCTGGCAGTTGATGCCAACTTTTGGCTGGGACCTCAGCTGGGGCTGTCATCCACAATACCCTGGCAACCTTTCCATGTGGCAGCTTCCCCACAGCATCACGGCTGGGCTTCAAACGTGAGCATCTAAGATGGCAAATGCTATGTCACGTTTTGGTGACGTTGCTTTAGAAGTCACACAGCACCACTTCCCTGTTGGTTATGAGCCCACCCAGGTGCATGGGAAAGGAACATAGAGCCCACCTCTTGGAGGGAGGCAGGGTCAAGTTGTAAGAAGAGCCTGTGTGTTGGTGCACGTTGTTCTTGTCTTAGGGAAATGTCACCTGACAAGTTGGGAAAATATTATTGTGTTCAATTATTAGTCAGCTGGTATGGGAATTTTTAGAACATTATAATTGTTTTTTTACAATAAAGGTTGAAACAAGATTTTAAAATGTAATCCCCTCAAGTAAGGCTTATTACAAATTCATATTCCATAAAAATTTTACATATTAAGACTTTATAATAGTATTTGCTTTTATTATATTCCTTTATATCCTGTTTATTAATATCACTTTTCCATGTAGCTTTCTTATTACCATTTTTATTTTGCAGACGAAGCTGTAAAATGTAATATGGATTCCTTGAGAGATTCACCTAAAAACAAATCTGAAAAGAAACAGCATTGCATCTCTTTAAAAGATACAAATAAGGTTGTATTTTAAAAATGCTCTTTAATTACAAAGTTCATGTAGTGTTAACTTAAAATTTTTCTCTTTTGAAATCTCTCTGAAACCAAAAGTATGTTTTCTATTAAAAAATCCTTGGCCATGTTAGCTTTGTTCATGAAAAAGTATAGTTTGCATGTTTGCTTATTTTGAAAGGAGAAAATAATTCCAGCTCCTTCACATCAAGCTCTTACTCTCGGCCTAGTTTGCTTTCTACAGAATTGGATATTGATTCTCCCTTTAACGAAGGTGTGAAAATCTGGAATTCCGGGGCATTGTCATAGTGACGTGCAAGTCTAACCTGCCTTCCGGTCCCTTTGACAAGACAGGTGAAAGTCATCGCAGGACATTTTAAATGTCTGGAATGCCAGCGGCCTGCCATTTGTATGTTCAATGAGTGGTTATGGCACTGGCATAATCACCCAGTTTTCCAGTTGTTTGTCTCTCCATATCTCTGTGTGCATGAAAATTGTCTGGGATGGTTGTTCATGAGAATAACTCCCATGGAATTTTAGTTCCAAAAGAATGTATATATGTTGCTGGCATACACATTCTTTCTGAAACAAAGTTTTGTTTTGTTTTGTTTTTTTACAGCGTGTTGAATCTTCAGCATACTGGCCAACAAAAAGAGGCATAACCATATACGCTGATCCAGATATACCAGAAGCAAGGTATGATTTGAAAATTGAAGCTGGTGTGGTGGCGCCTGCCTGTAGTCCCAGCTACTAGGGAGGCAAAGCTGAGGGGATCGCTTAAGCCCACAAGGTCGAGGCTTCAGTGAGCTATGATCATACCACTGCACTCCAGCCGAGGTGACAGAGTAAGACTCTATCTCAAAAAAGAAAAAA